TATAGTTTTGTTTATTAATTGTGTATCTCTACTGAGATCCACGCATTGTTTCTCATAGCATTGTTGTTTCCGTTAATTTCCCGGGCCTTTAGAGAGTCGCCAACAAAGTGTCAAGGTTCAGTAAATTCTATACTAAAGGTAAAATACGCAGTGCATGTTTTTGATTGAATTAAAACCTTTGCAGTATATAAAGAACCCAGAATCTAATAACTATTAACTTTTGTTTACTTTAAGAGTTATTATATATTTGTCATGCTAATTTTAACATACATCTTTTAATTTTCTAGATTCAAGTAAATTTCGACAAAACGACAAACAATGAAACTTGGGTTGGTATCAAAGAATTCTGCAAAAATGGACGCAATGCAACGTTTATGTTAGCCGGTGGTGTTCTTGTCGGTTTTATTTATGGATTTAAGATGGCTTATGCGTTCTGGAGAATAGACGATCTTGGTAAATCTTATTATTGTTATCAAATTTCGATTTAAATGCACATACTCTGCAGAGACTCAAATTAGCATTAGAGAAACGATAGTAATAAAAAAATAACTAGGCCTACAACAAAATTAAATACATACGCCAAGTCAAGCCAAATATGGCATTCGTTTTACGAAATTCACCCAACTGATGAGTTATTACAGTAAAGAGTGTGGTGCTCATGGTCTATTTTTGCTGAGAATGATTGTCCATTACTCTCAGATGGCGAACTTTGGGCTTATGGGAATTTTCTGGATTATGTTTTATGGATTCATATTATAAATCAGGGAGGTGTACATCTTCCTGTATAAATGTTCCGTTATTTTTCATTTTTATTACAAAGAAAATGTATTCGGGTAAAATATAAAAATTTTAATATATATGGACAAAATCTATCCCATATAGGTTGAAGTACTAGTTGAAGGCCTATAGTAAAACTACTTTTATTGACTAAGGAGTTCTTTAGACACAATGGAAAACAGTTTAATAGGAGTACGAGACTGCCATTTTAGGGCATCTGGAGTGACCATACTCAACCTTTTCTCAACTCGGCAAGATATGAAATGAACAGAATCATAATAGTTTTTTTTTGTTGCTTACTCTACATAGATGGTATTCACGATAATTAGTAATTATATAGCTTATAAAACTTACATTTTCAAACTATTATATTTCATTCAGGTGGAACAAAACGAATGTTAGGATTTGCAGTGTTGTTCCATGGATTGGCAGAATTCGTGACAGGTCTATGTGCATCACGATTAATACAAACTCTTGGTTGCCTCAAGATCGTAAGTTTTGGAGCGTTCATGTTTGCAGCAGATTGCTTTGGATACGCCGCGATGCGTAATCCAAATTGGACACTATTACTTCAGGTTTTAGAAGGTAAACATATTTATTCTTAAACATCGATCAGATTTAAGATATGTATATTCATATATAACTTTGAGTGGAGCTGTCTATAGTATGGGCATGGTTCGGCCCGTTTTCCCATTTGCTTCAACTACTGTACTCTATCCTATTGATTTTTAATTTTTTTAAATGCAGTAACCGGTACTCATATTTTAAAACAGTTTAAGAATTTAAACAGTAATTACTGGTTCGCAATTGAGAAGGAGAGAAACACGCTTGAAGCAGCGAACTTCATGAAATTTCTTTCAAAACAGCGGAAAGAGGTGGCAAAAAATTATCATGGTTAGAGAAATGATTTCCCAAACTTAACCCACTTGGGCCCTTATTTAGAAATTATATTATAGGTAAAATGTACTTTTCTAATAAAAATGATCCTTTTCTCCAGTGGTTAAGGGAAATGTGACCTGGGGAGCAAATGAGACAATCTTAATCCATACTTGGTGGTAAGGATGCTTGGCTTGGGTTCAATTCCTTTCATAGTAACATGATGTTTTTTCACGATCAATAACTACTCCACTCCATAAGACAAGACTCATAACTGAGACTTGATTGTATGTTTTTCTTGCGAAAGGATTGCCACTTAGTAAAGAGTGATTAGCTATGGACATACTCTCGGTTTTGGGCCTAAACAATGGTAAAAATAATTACAAAGAAAAGTAAAAATGAGCTAATAATATCCATTTACCCATGTCTATAGAATAATCCAATTTTTATACCAAATAATTAGAATACATTAAAAAAAATGTTACTGTTGTAAGGATAGTTATTAGTTTACAAAGGGTTTTCGTTACATACCATAAACATTTACAAAAATAAAATATGGCAATCTTTGTGACAATGTTAAGGTCGAAATTGTTGAGCGTCTGGATAAAAAAAAAATGTGAAGGGACTAGAATTTCACTAGGCTGGGCCCTCTAGTAATCTAATACACTAGACTAAATCTTATACAACTAAAACCACATTAAAAACACTTATATGTCTGTTGACTTCCAGGATTTGCGTTCTTTTGCACCTATATATTGGGATTGGTGTACATTGCTGAGACAACTCGTCCTAGATGTCAAGCCGCTGTTACGTTCATGTTCAGTTCCAGTTACTTGTGTTTGGGTCGGAGCATGGGCTCAGGTGTTGGCGGGTTGCTAACTGGAGAATTTGGTGTGGAGAAAGCTTTCTATATGATGTCAGCCCTTTCTGCAGTCATCACCATCATTCTCGGAACGTTAGATTGGGTTGGTAGTCAAAAAATATGCTAAGAAATAATACTGGATCATAAACGTTCGAAACGGGATTACATAACGATACATATGAAAAAATGAATAACGTAATAATAACGTTCTCAATATACCATAAACTATTGATTGGTTAAATCAGTCTCCATGCGCAACTGAACAGTAAAGATCGACAGTCTAACAAAAACAAATTTTATGTTTTACTATTTTATGACCTTACGTAATTTGTATTATTTAATTCTCAGCTATACAGGCACAAAACTGACGAATTAGAATCATATCAGGAAAACACGGGTGGAGATCAGACGGCACTTCTTGTTCAGAAAAGTGGAAGTACAAATGATGAAGAAGTGGTAGACTACGGGACGTGAAAGTCTAAGTCTATCTTATGAATTGAAATATTTTAAAAAGAAACAGCGATTCTTTAAAAAGTGTACAGCATAAAATGTTGAAAATGTTGTAAATTATGAATTTAGTGAAGCTTAGTACTAATATTTAAAAATGATTACTGTAACTTATAACTTTATTCTCTGTGAATGGGAATTTGAAATTTGATCAAATTTACAAGGTACAATACCTGTCTAATAAACAGTCGGAAGCATTAAAAAGGACTGGCGGTAAAATTGCTTGTGACAAACAACAATGCAAAATAAACAATAATAAGGAAGTCAACTGTAATACTGAGAATCTGAGAGAACAGTAATTAAAATGAGACAAAGGGTCTATATAAAATTGGTGTATAACAAGGATCTTGGCTTCATAAGCGGTTATTCATTCACCAAATAAGATTTATTTGTGATCCTATATATTTTCATTATCACTTAGACTTATTTTCATGAGGATGATTATTATGACGATGCTCATTTGTGTTTATTATTTCATTATTACTTTTTATATCAGATTTTTTTTTTATATCAGATTCATATCTATTTTTATTATTTCCATTATACACCAATTTTATATAGACCCTTTGTCTCATTTTAATTACTGTTCTCTCAGATTCTCAGTATTACAGTTGACTTCCTTATTATAATAATAATAATAATAATAATAATAATAATAATAATAATAATAATAATAATAATAATAGTCATATGAATTACTAAAAAGGATTAAGAAAAGGGATATTATAGTCACTGATCATACCGAGATCCTTGTTAAGTCCGAATATGTGGGTTTTGTGTTTGATTATGTGTCTGAGTTCTGATATGCGCCTTTTATTAAGGGATGGGAAATTATTATTATTATTATTATTATTATTATTATTGAAATTATTACTATTATTATTATTATTATTATCACTTTTATTATTATTATTATTATTATTATTATTAGTATATACATACATAATGTAGATCAATCCTGCGATAGCCAACACTATATTTGAAACCTGTCAGAAACGTTGCATTACAGCTATATGTCAGTTCCGACACTAAGTCAGTGGTAGCACAAGTAGGGGCCGGGGACCAGGGCTCCTCATCGGGGAGAGCTTCCCCCATTGGGAAATCCTGGCGCCAACATTGCCCTAAGATAATAAAATTGCTGTTTAATCGAATCGAAAAATTTTCCGTTTAATTAACAGATTTCTCAAGTGTTAAAATGTATTTCAGTAACCATGTCTTTAAATATGCATAATAAATACAAAATGTCTGTAGCACCTATAATAATATTTCTCGAGAGCAAAATATTGGTTGCTTAAATTACAGGTACAGCGTCAAATAAATGGGACAGGATGAAGATTTGTCTTAGTTTACAATAATTTATCAGTAATCTGACAAGTATGAGTTGTGTAGGGACAATGTAACCACATATTCTGATACACAACCTATGTATATGTGTCTAGGCTATGATAGACTTCCGTAGCATGTCTTTTTCAGTACGTCAGTAAGCAATGTTTCTGTAGCAACTACGGACGTTCCGTAGAACTTCAGAACTCTGAATAAACAAGGATGATTTTGTTTTGCTTTCTAGGTTTCTAGGCACTAGTTTCAATGTTAAACCAAGCTGCAGTAGTGGCGCCATGGGGGGGGGGGGGGGGTGGGTGTGGGAGGAGGATCAGGGAGAGCATCCCATCGGACAGGCCTGGGTCCCCTATCCCTGGATCCAAAGAACGTTATTTTGATTGCCCAATCCCGAATATTGGGATCTAAAAGCAAAATGTAGACCATTCCCTACCAGGCTTATTTTTATTCCGAGGCTCTAGTCGGCAACTTGGTACACACCCCTGTTGGACATGTTGGAGCCCTTTTCGGCAAATTTATGGAGCCACCGCTGCCGAGTTGTCATTCACACAATGTCATTGATTCCTTCAACAATGGACAGTTTTCAATGTAAAACCAAGAATCAGTGACTACTGATGAAGACATAATTAATGTCGAAATATTGAATCCCGACACGATAGCGTGCATTTCGATACTTGGAGTATGTATTATACTATCTTATCTGAGATTAATCAGTGGACCTTTCAGTAAGAATTTCGGTAAGAATCAGTGACGTGTTAATAAACATACAAATATTGTTTATTTTCATCAATCCAATAATCTCCAGACCACCTATCATAAAACCTATTTAAAAAACATTTTATTGATTCGATAAAATACTATAAGCTTGCATTTTGCATTATGTTGTTAATTCATTTGTGAAATACATAGAAAACAATGAAATAGGCTTGTATTATGGTATTACTTCATTGTATAAAATAACATAAAACATGCTTTTAAAAATAACAAAAAATATTCTAAATCAAATGAAATAGGTTTTTGGCACTCATCCCAGTTTGCCGATTTCATTCGTATAGGAATTAAAACTAGAATTACTAGTACAGTATATGTTTTTATTGTTTGGTAAAGTCTCTTCACTGCAAATGGCATGATTCAATCAATGCTTTTACGTAGCAAACAGGATGCTGTTGGTACTAAATTGTCACTTTACCCGAATTCGGTTTGGTTATAATGTATATTCATTGCACTCTCAAAACATTAATTTACTATGCCGTAATCAAAGTTATTGTCATTTTTAAATCACAATAACATAAAAGTTTCTAATACTGTGGTCTAAGAGCACAATTGTTGCCATCCTAAATCTTCTTTTTCTCATGATCTTCTTCTTCTCAAGATAGTAAAAGCATTTCAGTAACCATGTCTTCAAACACCTGTTAGTTACTACTACAAAATTTCCGTAGCACATACCTAATAATTTAACACGAGTGTAAAATATGGATTTGTACTGTGTTGCTTAAACTTCAAGAGCTGTGGAATTTTCAAACAAACCGGACAAGATGAAAATTTATGAATAAGCCTAGGTTTAACTCACTTTTTATTGGTTTTCACAATAATTTATCATTAATCTGAGTTGTCTGGGGACAATGAAACCAAAAATCCTGATGGAAAAATATTTTTTATGGACGTTAGATGTTAGGTAGACTACAGCATAACAGCTGTGGAATTCCAAACAAACGGGACAGGAGGAAGAAAATCCTGATGGAAAAATATTTTTTATGGACGTTAGATGTTAGGTAGACTACAGCATAACAGCTGTGGAATTCCAAACAAACGGGACAGGAGGAAGACTTACAGGCCACATTTTCTTAGTTTTCTAAATAATTTAATGGTAATCTGACAAATATGAGTTGTCTAGGACAACGTAACACCGTAACCAAAGCCAACAATAACGGCAAGGGTTCGCGGCTGCCTCGCTCCTAGTTCCGGTGGTGGAACAAGTCTTCTCGGATAAGGACTATAAACCGTCGGCCCAGTGTACACAAATGCTCATGTGCACTTTAAAGAACCCAGTACATCTTTCGAGATGAGTAGGGGATTACCCCAGTATACTGGCCCCTGTTGTCTTGTGATGGGATGGCCACTTTGAAGAGTGATTTAGTTCACTGTTTGACATATCCTTGGCCCTTGTGCCTAAAGCTGAATAAATAAACGACAGATTCTGATGGAAAGGTAATTTGTTTTGGATATTGGATCTAATTTCCGTACGTCCGTAATTAGGCAAAATTTCTGTAGCAACTACAGAAGTTCTCTCACGTTTCTCTAGTTTTACTGTTGGACCCCGACCAATGGCCTCTCAGATCCCTGTCAGATTTGTTACCCAAATCAACAAATTTCTGTGGCCACCACTGCTAAAATTGTATCTGTACAATATTTACACCCTAGGTGTTCATACCGAAAAAATCTAATCCAATTTTACCACCCAACTGCAATAGATGGAAAACAAAAAATGTTCTTATACTTTTACAGGGAAACACTTTCCATTTTATTCAAAATGAAAATAGAGAAACAACATTCTACAAAAACAACTAATCGTTATGCAATTTACAAGCATTGAATTTAACAATTAACTTCATTGAGAAAACACTAACATCATCTAGGTCTCTGTACGTAATTACACCCAAGTGAATTTTATTTTAGGTAAAAAAAATAATTGTTGTATGTGTTTAATTCTGCAAACATTTTACACGATTTAACCTTATTACTGAATGCAACTTTCAAATTGCTTTTGACAGTAATAAGTGCCATTGTAGTATGTTATTGGTTTAGTAGTTGCAAACATTTATTTGCTACAATACCAATACACTATCTTTCACTCTCAAAATAATTATGCGAATTTATTTCAATGATTCGCTTTGGTGGCCTTTATTACGTTCAGCAAAACAGAAAGACTGAACTTCAATGAATCCAACAAGTTGATATCATTCTAGTAGATTTGATGTATGAACACTGAACACTTAAAAATGCACTGAAATGTTTTAGAGAAAATCTTAGGCAATTTCTGCTTTCATAAGGAAATTGACAGCAATGGCCCAATAGGGTGAAGTAACACAGATTATTCTCACGACAAATAGGAATAATTTCCGTAAAAATAAAAATGGTCAAACTCTGAGTGCAAAGACCATTTAAAATCTTGTTACTATAATAAAACGTCTATATAGTTGGAAAACTTGCAGATCTGTGGGAGGAAAAAAAAAAGAAAAAAATTCTTAGTTTCTGGCATTTTATCACAAATATTTTATATATTTATCATGAAACTAAATATGATAGCATTGAACTTTACTTTATTGCATACAGGTGCAAAAATATACAATGGTGATTTACAAAATCCAAGGAAAAAAATCAGGAAAATAAACTATGAGAACAGTGCCCTCTATAATACATTAATGTGATAATACTATAGGACTAATGCCTTTTCTTTTAAATGCGAAGCCCTCTAAAGCAATGTGAAAAAGACTACTGGGTCAAAATGTACCACTACATTTTAATGCACAGTAGGTTATCTGATAGATTTTGCACAAGTGTGTGGTTAGTCTATTCATAAACAAATTCTGTGAAATATTCAGTGATGTGCATGGTAGTCATGCTGTTTTATTTTTCCTGTACATTTGTTCAGTTGAGCTGTGTTTCTTGGATATTTTGATCAAGAAGAATGCTATAAAAGGCTATTTTGTTCTTAGACATTTTTGTTGGTCAAACAGACCAGGTAGACTGTCTGACAAAAAGGTCCAATCCAAACAAGGCATATTGCATCACAACCAATCATAATAGTAAATAATAAAATTTGCATAGTGTACACATCTTTATTATACTACAGTACTAGCAAACTCAGAATTTCAATTTTTCAACATATGCATGATCTTACCTCTATAAGTTTAGGACTCATCTTCATCTTTGACCTCAGCTTTGGCCTCAGCAATTTCCTTTTTCTTCTGACCGATATGCATCTAGAAATAATAATTTGCGTCATATATTTTGTTAATCATGTTATTGGTTGAATAAACATACATTTATCAAAGACAGTTGAATTCATTGGAGTTTAATATATATGTGCACATAATACATATTTCAATATGTATAGCTATCAACGATCTATGAGACATAAAATCTATGTCAGATATAAACACATTATTTGTGAGGTCTTGCCACAAAATGAGTCTCATGGTTAGAAATTCAAAAATTGAGTTTATATTATATTTGGGTAGATCACATTATAAGCTTTCATTTGGTCTTTGAATGGCTTCCCTACTATAAGTAAATCCAGAGATGTGAGCATTTAAAATTTAGGTGTATAAGAACCACATTTTGAGAAAATCAGTCTCAAAGATAAACTAACCTGTACAAATAATATGACTAGAATTACAGAATATGTGGAGAGAACATTGTTTTGGCAAGAAAATTCACTTACAAAGTATACAATCATAAAATATAAGTATCAAGTTATTCAAAAACATTAAAATCAAAATTTTGTAAAAATGTTGACTTTGGCCTGTTTTGGTGAATATCTCAATATGATTTCACCAACGATGCGTTTCATTTCGTGGTGAGACCTCACATTTTTTCTTGCAAGTATTTTTTGCTAATGATACAACTGCGATAAAATCCATTGTAATCTCAAACTTGGTGAATGCAGCGGAGCAAGTGGTCTTAAAGACTGAAAATATTTTTGTTGCACCACACAAAGTTTAATGTTGAGCTAGTTTTAAAGCCTTTTACACACAGTAAGTTTACTGGGTTAAACGAGACATTTTTTTATTCCTTGTTTCGCAAACTTATTTTATTAAAGATCATCAGATGAGGGTGGAAAAAAAATAAAAATAAAATTTTGTTTTCTTATTTTGCAAATGGTTTTGCCAAAAAAATCCAGACGGAGGAGAAAATAAATATAAATTTTATTGGTGAATGTAAACAGTGTAGTAATTAGATAGTTAAATGCTTCAAATTTTTTGATGGAAGAATGGAAATTAGGAAGAGATATACATATCTTATCTTTGGAGATTTTAAGGCAGTGGAGAGCATAATAAAAATAAAGAAAAACTTTTATTTTTTTCTGAAATTCGCATTTTTAGTGGTGGCAGGTAATTGGCTAATTGGCCAAAAATAAATTTTTTCTTAATTTAAAATTATAAATATTTGCCGGTGGCGGGTTTGCTAATCAAGGTATAAAAAAAGTCTCGCCTTAGTATAATCCTATGTGCAGTTTCATGGGGTTAAAATTCGAAATTTTGGAATGCTAGCCCAACTGATGTCACAAATACTTCATAGGTACAGTAATTGGGTTCTTTAACTCAGCTATAAACTCATGACCCCTGTGCATATGATGAGAATTTTTTGTCAAGACAAAGAAAAAAAATCAGCTAAAAGGGGTAAATTCCTCACAAAATTCATCTACCCATCACACAAAGAGTGTCAACAACTGAATCACACTGCTTGCTCAGCTATTTAGTTCATGTGCAGTGAGCTTCATTTTTACTAAGTAATATTCTACAGAACATAGAAATACATTGAATAGATTGTAATGGTTCTTGGCCTTACCTTCAACGCATGGTAATGTGCCTTAGTACTGCAGTGCGTCACCTTGGCAACTGTCTTCTTGTGGTAGAATTTGTGGCAGAGCTTGCAAAAAAAGCCAGATACTGGCACAACAAAACCTTGGCCTAGGAGAATAAAATAACAAAGTGGGGAAAATGTAAAAAATGTACATGGGAGATGGAAAAGGTCTAGGAAAAGAATTGGGATAGCAAATGATAAGAGGATATGTGAAGATAATGTATAAAAAACAGAGAGTAATGGTTTCCATCGCCTGTTCTTACCGCTTCCTGCGTGAAGGATTGCCCTTATATTTAAACCTTTACTTACACAATAGAGTACAAATAATCACTTACTATTACTGTATTAGATACAATACAACTTGCGACCTTATAAAAAGTAAAAAATGTAGAGTGAAAAATGGATTTATCTAAAAGCTACTAATTTATTTGCTCTCAGTTTTACCGAGATAAAAACTAAACACTACAAAAGACTGTTGACAGAAACGCTTGTTGACCCTCCATTCCTCTTGAATGGAGTTCAAATACAAAAAAGACTTCATGGTTCAATATGTAAAAAAGAGAGTAAACTAGATAAAATTGTAGGCTATTTTGCAAGAAAAGAATGTGTAGTGAAATTTCTAAATATCTATAAGAAGTCCCACTTCGAACACATAAAATGATGAAAAAAAAGATGATGATAATACTGACACATTAAATTATGTGTAGTTTTGACCAAAGCCAATTTTGTATACATATATTCACATCATTAAGTAAATTCTAGACCCATGTTCTGAGCCAGGCTCATAGCCAAGTTCAGAGTGAAGCCCTGAGGAAAGCTTAAGCACAGAGCCAGTTACAGAGTGCGACCTAGAGCCATGCCAGATGGAGACCTACAACCAGGCCTAGAGAACAGACTAAGCCCAAAGCTCAGTAATATCATGTAAATAGCACAAGAATGTGTGTATGCATCTATAGTTCCACTGAAAAGTCAAATATGAAAAATGTTAAAAATGCATTTTACCAGTATTATGGGTTAAATACACTTACAAACATGACAGAACAAACACAACAGTGCAACAACACCTTCAAACAAGTTTGAATAAAGGACAGGAGATAAAAAGATCAAACAAAATAATAGCATATTTTTCATTTACGGAGATAATATAATACAGTTCTTTTCAGTTTTTTTCTCCAAATTCACTTGAATTATATCCAAAGTGTACAGTAATACAGTGTCAAATCAATTTTGGAATATTGAAGCCATCTCCATGTTAGATCACCAACAAAGGGAGATTGTTAAAAAAATTCAACATAAACATTATTCAAAAAATACCTACAACTTATGATGATTGTCATTATAAAGAATCAGACAGCATAAAGACTACGTAGTTTTTCATATGAAGATTTGATGAAAAAAATATAACCAGTAATCAAAGCAAAAGAAATGACAGCTTGAAGGTGAAGGAACCTACCAACAGGTGTATTTGGGTCAAACTCTCCCAATTCCTCGTCCTCTGGTTCTGAGCATGTGGGGCTATCTGTGGTACAATCTTTTGACTGCCTGAGGCGTTTGGGACGACGGAGTACAGGCTTAGGGGTTGGTTCTGTGGTGGTGAGAACAGAATCAGACACTGGGGTAGGCTCAGCTTTAGGTTCCTTCTTGCTGACAGCTGGAACTTCTGGTGCTGATGACACTGGGGTTTTAGAAGAGATAGGGGTGGTCACTTCAGGAGGGGGTTTTTCCTCCGTTGTGGATACCTTCAACGGATCTGGTTTGTTAGTTGTTGTCTTAGAATCTTGACTAGACTGATTGACAGTAGGCACACTATCCGTTTTAAGTGGCTTTTCAGCTTCCGCCACAATTTGTTCATCCTCAACAACGGACTGTCCTTTCTCTGAACCGCCCTGAAGTGGCTTTTCATCGTCAGCCACAATTTTTTCATCCTTTACAACGGACTGTTCTTTCTCTGAACCGACCTCAAGTGGCTTTTCATCGTCAGCCACAACTTCGTCGACACCAATGGACTGTTCTTTCTCAGAACTGACCTCAGCCGATGCATCAGCACCGGCTGCCTCCTCTGGTTTTTCTGAGGCTTCAGTAGGACTATCGCCTTCATCTTTAGGCACTTCAACTGCTGGGCTAGGGGTTACCACTGTGCCATTTGACTGATCTGGGCTGAGTTGTTGCTGCTTTGGTGTATCATCATTTGTCTCCTGAACAAAGAACAATGAGTTTATCTACATTAAAATTATACACGTACAAACACACATGGCAACAAGAAATTGTGTTTGAAGGCAGGATTAAAGTTGAAATAGGGACACATTTGCCAAGGGAATGTTACATAAGAGATGTAATTAATAGGTAGAACACTGTAGAAAGGAGGCCTTCTTCACCTAGATGAACCTCATAGTGGTTTTGGACTGAATTCATTGAACAAGAATGATTACTCTTAACATTCTTTTGCAACAGAATGATAAGATATGTTTCATTCAAGTCTATGTAAGTATAATCAAAGCATTACTGACATTAAAAGAATATTGTTTATGAAATGTTATCTATAGAATTTATTTCAATTTGTAATTTGTAGGAAGTTTTAAGTACTGTACTTCCATCAAGTTTGTCAACTCATTTGAAGGTTAATGGCAGGATACTAGCAAGAGGGACACGTCAAAAGCTATATAAGCAACATGTAATTCATATCTTATAAATTCTGAGCAATGAAGGTGTCAGCACCATGTCCAACCCTCTCAGGGGGATTTTTAATGTTAAGGCTACAACAGCCGACGAGTACTCCAAGAGTAGCGAGTACTTATCGACGATGATGACCAGTACAGAAGACAAGGTAGCTTACGGATCCCTCTTCAACCTCCTCTTCAAATATTCCAATGGCATCTACAGTAACAAAATCCTCAGGCTTGGCTGAGCCTTTACTGCGTCTTGCCTCGCATTCCTGCAGTCAGAATTAGCAATATAAAAATAAAATATTGATGAAGATTAAAATTAAATTTGTTGAAGGGAATAGACATCCAGTATATAAACAAAACATTAACAAAAGAATGGAATAAATGGCTTCTTTCAACATCTCAGAGATCTCGTAAATAATAAAGATACGACAAATCTGAAATCTATGTTGTAAAAAGGATTATGTTCATAATCAACCAATATGGTAATATGGATCCTTGGGTGAAAGGGTTAAACAAGGAAACATCAGCTAAATAGCACATTTAACATTTTTCACTTCTTTGAATATAAAATATATGTACCGTAGTGAATAAAAAAATAGACAATAGGATAAGACCACAAGGAATACAAATGCCTTTTGTTAGGAATAAAGACATAATGTGGGAACGGTAAGCAAGTAATAAAAGTGAAACGCAAATACGGATATTTGATGTCTGAATGATTTTTGACAATGACAAGAGAGTAATATTTGACAAGCTGTACAATATAGACTGGTACAACGTCAATGTCTGTGGGTTAAAGTTCAAAAAATACACCTTGTTGACGAATGGAGCAGCCAAGTGTCAAGAAATTTGTAAACAATATGATTGTAAAAAAGGTTAATAAAAAAATATGGGGAGACGTTGGTGACGGTACCTTCTTATGACGTTCAGTGTTACAATGCGCCTGGTACTTCTGATTGTCCTTGAAGGTTGTGTTACAAATCTTACAATGCCTTCGACTCTGCTGCACACGTTTCTTGGCATCCTAAAAGGAGATAGACACAATGGAAAGAGTGGAACTGGTGGCTCAGCACGTAGATTTTCCGAATACACATAAAGGTGCTCGGTAATAAATATTTTCATTTATAGAAAAACACACTAAGAGAAACTGTACAAAGTAAACCTGTGACTACAATTAACAAAGATGTTGCATCATCATATTATTCAGTGTGGCATGACCCCTCTAAATTGTCCTTTTGCACTCACTTCAAGAGTTAATCCTAATATCTTGTACTGTAGATTTTTAAAAATATCATCATCATGAAAAATGTATCAAAGAGTAATGCACATAAGCCCATAATATACAAAGAACTATATATAAATAAAAAAATTATTCATTAATCCTTTATAATTCAATTTTCATAGATCTGCACCAACTCTCATTAAACATCTGATGCAATAAACATATTTGTCCATGAATATTGCATGACACAGCGGCTATTTATCATATAATAAATTACGCCATAATAAACAAAAATGATAAAATGTAATTTTGACTAGTGGTCAGTGCATTTTGACTAGTTTTCTAAAGTATTTCTAGGTCGATCATCAGTTCAAACACAGGCCTATGTATGGCTGCACGTCTACATGTTACAGTGATTGCGATAGACGTTTGAATTTTCATAGATGCATGCTTATCCAAAAGTATATGCAGACCCTCTACTTTTAAAGACAAGGTCTATACAAACAGAGACAGAGAATATTGACACTGTAAACAGATGGTGTCATATGGAACAACCCGAGACATGCTATTATATTTAAGCAAATGTGTGTTATTACTCAACGATGTTGCAATGTACATAGTAACGCCATCATACTTTGGTTATGCTACCACCATGGAGTCAAGGAAGAACAGTAAATGTAACAGCACCATTGCATCAGAGTACATGGAGTAATTGTTTAATACTGAATTACAAACACTGACTTAGAATGAAGGATTTTCAATGTGAACATTAAAAACCACCCAAAATTATCACTGAAATAAAATAATTTTCATATTCTAAAATAAATATACTTAAAAAATGTTCAGATTTTACATTTTAAAAATTAATAATGAAATAAAAATAAAAAATGTCAAGATACAAAAATTATTTTATACTATATACACATTAGTTTCATTTGTAATACACCAAATAATTTATTTATTTCAACAATATTTTGAGAGTGTGGTCCATCCGGCCAAAGCTGATTAATTTTGACCCTCAAATACATACAATAAAAGACAAAAGAATAAAAGATAAAGAACTTTAACATTGATAATTAATTCAATTAAAAGAGAAAAATGTAAAATTTGAAAACATGATGAATATACAAACCCAATTAAACACCATACCTGATGACTTGTCCCTTGCCGATGTTCAATCGTGGATCCGTGGAAAAATATCTGACATTCTCTGCAGAAATGACGATCACCACGCGCTGTGCTACTACTACTACCTCCAGTACCGCTGCCTCCACTACTGGTGGTCTTAGGTCTGGCGTTGCTACCTTTAGGCCTACGAAAATCAACAAGTACCAAATAATGAAGACGAATGAAATGATGGAAAGAAGGTGAGAATTTGAAGTGATAATCTGAATGTATTCTAAACTACAAATCCCAAATGTTATGATAGAGATGTTAAAAACAATGTGATGAGAAGGAATATGACAACTAAGAAGATGACAACAATGATGAGGATGGTACTAATGATGCGTGATGAAGATTATGAGGCAGATGATGTAAAATAAATGCTGGTGATGAAAATGCTGATGATGTGTGATAATGACATGAAGATGATGACGACAACAATGGTACTGATGAAGAAAATGTGTAAAGAGGATAAAGTATATAATCATGGTAATGACAATGATGCTTATGGTGCAATGAAAACAATTTTATATGGATGACTATGTAGATGATATGTGTAATGATGACAATGACATTAATGATGTGGTGGATTATGATGATGATGATGATGTACATGGATGATAATTATGTCTATGTTATTGTAATGACAATCATTTCTTATTTCCTTTAATGTACAGGGAATCCTTTATACATGATTAATGGTGATGAGTACCATGATTCTGCAGAGAGTAATTAAAAATAAAATGTAAATTTCTATAACTAACACATATTATAATTATATTCTATAAAAGTAAATTTTAGAATGTTTAAGGAGCCATTAACTGAAGCTCAAATAATTCATTTAAAATTTAACTTTACAAATTACACATCACTTCAGTTCAAGAAAACATTCAGGTGTGAAAATTTGTCAAGTTATGCATCTAATGCTGTATCTTCCGGTAAACTTGCTCCACTCCATTAGGTATAGTTATAAGTAAACAAAACAATCAAAAGTACTGCACAATTGAACTTAAAATAAAATAAATACAGTGTTATATAGTTTGTTCTACTTAAACATGTAAAAAAATGTCAACAGGCGATACTATATAATAATAATATTTCTCATTATTTTATATTGTATTAATTTGTATATTATTATCTTACTTTCCCTCAATCATGCGGAGATGCTGCTGGGCCTGCATACGTGCTTTTGCTTGATTTGTTTGGAAGTTGGCAACCACCATGATCCGGTTGATAGCTGTGCTATGACTTTGGCTGTCCATGTGCAGTTTGTACTCCTGGGGAGAAAAAAAATAATTTGTTTCTAAATTTTAGGACGAAGGTCAATAAGTGTATGTACTGTTAGTAAAATAATTGTAATATTATTATTTTCGTAAATCCCTCTGATTTATAAGTTACATGGGCCTCGACATGGGACTCAGGTTGGAATATTAGCATTATGATTTTGATTAATCACGTAGTTCACGCAAATATCATATGAAGAAGATTCTATATTCGTGTGCAACTGAGTGGAAAATGTTTTACCTATGTTTCGGAACAATTAGTTTAATTCTACTCACAGACAATTGGTCTAGTAGTATTGTGTTGCCAATCAAACACACAGTAGATTCTATATCCCTAGATATCAAAACTAACTGCTGTTGCTTGGACTTAACAGCCAATTATTGTTGGAAATTTCCATCAATTAAAAAATATTCTTCTAGCACAGTGGTTCCCAACCTTATTGCATTCACGGACCCCTCAGAACATATTTAAGTTTTCTTACAAATCCGCAAGTCTAAGTTTAGTTACTGTTGATATTCCACCAATAGGATTATAATTATAAGAATATAGATAGGCCTACATTCATCCTAAAAGTACATCAAAATTATTTCATTATTGATTAGTCTCCAATTGATCAGAGAGTTGCCGCAATGTTGCGGTAAGCATGCCAACATAATAACCGGTCTCAACCCTTTCACAGCACCTTTGTTACAGCAATATTGCAGTAATCTTGTGCTTTTCTGTCTGAAAGGGTCCTGCTGTAAGGAATGGTGTAATATTGGCAGTTTAAATACCACAGAGCAATTGTTTTCAACTTTAATCTTCTTTGTTTATGCATAAAACACATGCCGACTTGATTGCCGCAATATCGAGTACACCCTTTCAGACAGAGCAAGTCAGTAAAATAATGAAATCATGAAAAATTGTTCTAAAAGTCTAGCAGACCCCAACAATGTTTGCAGACATATGATTACATGCTCATACTCTTCCAACTGCAATATGTCCAGCTATATAAGATCACTTCAAAATAAGAATTCCATGGCCTATATCACCTATATGAAATTTGAAATATCGATCTATTTGTATGGGCAACCACAACCTTCTATTTGGTATACACTCTCTAAAGTATAACTAGCAATCCCCTCAACAATAGAGTTACAATAAATAATATCAATAACATACCGACATGAATAAATTAAATGCAAGACCACTATTTTTTAAGTAATTAATAATCTGATGATACAATCAAGGTTTGTCTGTGGGAAATGCTTGCATTTTCTGGTTCCTGATCCAGATTAGACTGGACAGCATTAATGTACATGATAGTGCCACCACATTACTATCACTTACATTTTCTGGTCCCAGGGAACTCAACCACAAAAACTCCATCCTAATGTTGTATTACACCCATATCAGTACGGTAATAACTAAAACTAAATAAAAATAACAATAAAACAAACAAATAAAACATATAAAATATATTTCATTGTTTTAAAAAGTAGAATAAACAGGTATCCAAAATGAGCAACTTATTCTTATTGCATTGGCTAAACCATCAGTGGATGAACCATCCTTGTATAAAAAGGAGTAGTACTGTACCACCAGAAAATAAACAAATAAATTTCATATTTAAACCATGAAAAATTATCCAATCTGGTATATAAGCCTACAGTACGAAGCAACTTTTCAAACTGGTATAATTTTCTTCTTCTTGCGAATGACAAGCAAGCAGCACGAAACTTGATTACAAAAATAAAATTGCCTTTGAAGGGTAAGGGTGTAAGAAATTGTTTATGTCACGACTATACCAGTAATTGCTGTAATAATCCAGGCATAAAACCATTTCCCATTGCTTCAAATTTGTGATTGATGCGATAGGATTACACCAGATTGGATAAAATACAGTACACCAACTATCTAGGTTTTAAAACACTTTTGTCTACCTGCAGATTACTGCTGACAATGTTACAAACATTACAGCGCCAAGGTCCACTTGTCGTGCTACTATTCTTATCCTGTAAACAAGCAAGATATTTGGGACACTAATTAATGATACAATTCCTATTTTACATACTTAATAATTAGAATTAAAATTGAGTAAAGAAAAAATTTCCATCTACAGTAATACGGCAGGGTGGTCATTGGAATAAAGCAACAATGTGTGTTTTAAAGTCTTCATAAATACTTCAATGTCACTCCTATGTAATTTCGATTAGTTTTTTTTTTTCTATTCTGCAGCACTTGCTTTTTGAGATTTTGTATGAAGTAAATTAGTCAATCTACACTGCATTGCATGCCTTTTATATATAGTGATAAAACATTTAAATCCTATCAGTGTTATTACATTTTTGCAAGTACAAAACATCAGTGCACCCTTGACTTACTGCAGGTGTAAGAAATCTTTAGGTCATCAAATACAGATGCCTTTGAGGGTTATGCATGAAATAGTTTTATTTCTTTGTGCCTTTTCCTCTTAACAATTATGCATATTAACTGGTACATTATTCTTATAGCAGTGCACAACATCATGTGAAAAACAAACTAACATCACGGTACAATGCTTCCAAAAATTAGGGAAAAAAACATACATTAATCCTACCAAAGAGACTGTTAACGGTATTACTGTAATGCATTATTGTATAAAAGTTTCCGCATGATTACAATCTTGGTTAGGTCGTGCATCACACGCTTTCTACTACACATTCTACTGCAGCTTTAGCAAAAAATACATTCACAAGAATTTTAAAGAAAGGAAAAATTACAGTGAATAATTTTTTGCCCGCTCTTCAAATGATTTAAAAAGGTTGTGTACTTTATATAATACACTGTTGATGAAATCAGTAAATCAAATCTCTTCAAAAGTAATATCACTTCTAAAAAAAAAAAAAAATGGGGAAACAAAAACTTTATACTTTACTTTATTATTAAATACAAAACAATAAAAAAAAGTTTCTTAACACAAAAGAATGCATTTGTTATACATAATTTGGTTAATTAAATGCAAATTATTTTTGTTAAGTTTGACCATACTCCTAGGAATAAACACTGTTTAGTTAAGTTAGAATGGGAAGTTGGACTATAGGAAAATGCTAAATTTACATACCCTAATTGTACTTCTTTTTCTGGCAGGTCCACTTTCATCATAATCATCTGTAGGCATTGTTGGATCATACAACTCCTGGTTGAGGGATCTTTTCCGGCTTCTATTTCGTTGGTTTCTATCGCTATTGTTGTATCCTGTCATTGGCGCCCTTCTACCACTGTCCATACCCTCTTGAGCAAGCATGGCCTGCTGAAGACGGACCTTGGCAGCAAAATCCTCTTCCCGAACACTAAAATCTCTACTGGAACTGTATGAGCTTCCACCAGCCATAGGAGGATTTCCAAGCAGAGATGACCCCATTCCAGACTGCTGTGACGGACTCCTCAAATCTGACTGCCACATACTGCTTCCTCCATGCATCCTATCCAGACTTCCTCCATGCATCCTATCCAGACTTCCTCCATGCATCCTATCCAGACTTCCCCCTAGACTTCCCCCAAGACTTCCCCCAAGACTTCCTCCAAGACTTCCCCCCAGACTTCCTCCAAGACTTCCCCCCAGACTTCCTCCAAGACTTCCCCCCAGACTTCCTCCAAGACTTCCCCCCAGACTTCCTCCAAGACTTCCTCCTATGCTTCCCCTTAGGCTACTACCTGTAGATGGTTGGCTTAGCAGGTTGCTCTGTAGCCCCATATAGCTGGACTGGCTTCTGTAACTGGTCTGGTTTAAACTAGACTTTGCAGTATTTAGATTGAGGTTCAATAGAGATGGGATATTACTAGTGCTCAGCTGACTTCCACCTCCCTGGTTGCCACGTCTTCTTCCATTGTTACGCTTCTGTTGTTTATGCATCTCAGCTAGAATGTTTGCTAAACTTCTGTAAAAAAAATTGCAAGAAATTTTTTTTTAAATAATTACCACCAGAATGTGTTAGCTTTATCATAAAGAATGATTGATCCCAACCAGGTTAGAAAAAATGTAATTCTACTCGAGTAGAGAAACAGAATGTGTTGAGAATGACGTTGCTTCCATTAGATTTGTTTACAAAAATAAATGCTTTGGGTCGTTTATTCGAGGGAGGCAATATTCCAAATGTGGCTCTAGAGGGGGTGTTTATTCAAGAGAGGTGTTTATTCAAAGCAGGGCATTTATTCGGATAAATACAGTGACTTTAAAAGGACAAATGAGTATAGTTTAGTTAAGTCTTGACCTATCCACATTAGAAAATCTGAAACTGAAGTTTAAGAAAACAACAAATTGTAAGTCAATATCATTAATAAAATAGTATGCTTTATGACTACTTTAATTTTTATTATATTTTCATTATAAAGAAGATTATTCAACATAATCGTCCCCATATTAAACCTATGAGTTTAATATCGAAATGAAATAGAATATTTTGTCCTTTCTAAAATGAATATAGTTAATACCACACTTCCTAAATAATCTAATGTACTGTATTAGATTTATTGGATTACAGGTGTAAACAATGCTTATGTGTGCACGTTCAACTAGTGTACGTGACAAGAGATTTAAGTCTGAAGTGACTATGTAAACAAGTTCGATTGAACCAACATTGCATCAATCACAGTCATTCTCGCAGACTCGTTCCCCATGAAGAAATGATGCACAGAGCCGGAAAATCATTTGCAAAAATAATTGATAACAAATCATGCAATCTATCACAAGAACATTACTTTATGGATCAGAGAATTTATTCCTAATATGAATTACCCAGGTACTGCATTATAAACTTAATTGAATGTAAATATCTATATTGCATACTAACTACATTTAATCGAACAGAATAACATTCTAGGTCTACTGTACACACTCAGTGACAAATTTGGTAAATTTCTACCATGACACAATTTTGTTTTAAAATTTCAAGATTTAGTTATTTAAACTCAGTACTTCAGTAATAATAAAATAAAAAAATTATTTAAAAAAGTCTGTGCTGCTTTATATGATGCTGAGTTAAAAGAAAAGTTTAGACATTCTATGGACAGATGGATTCACTTGGAGATAAATCTACATAATTATTTGGAGGACTGTCAGTGACACTATCTGCTCTTTTCCAGAATCTGTTGCTATAAAACGACAATAATATGGGCTTGGAATGGATCATAACCTTTTATTCTATAGTGCTGTACTACATAATTGAGGTTTACTACACAATTGGTACCGATACCCCAAATCCTTGACTTAAATCCATGTCTAGGTCTTTGGATTAAGCCTATAGAAGATTAGCTGTTACTTCATACTACTTTGAGGCTATATAGTCGCACAAATACTAATGCATTTGTAGTCTATACAATTGCACAATGCCCATTGTGATATTAATCCAGAAGTTCTCTTCTGAATTCAATTCCAAGAAAGATGAATAGAACATGATGTTTTTTAGTACCTTGCACAGACTGACTGCAGAATAGGGCATTCAGTTGCGACACAGTGAAACAACAGCATCACTTCTATAAGGAACTCCAACCAGGAAGTAATGAACTGTAGGGCCAACTACTCCTGTTGTGCACTCAGTGGATCAGTACAGTAGGTACTGTAGTCTCTCATTTTTTTCATGGGGCCTTAAATTATGTTTGGGTTTAAATTGCTTGGCAACACTTAAAAAAAAAGTATGCTGTTTCACAAACCTGTCAGTTGCTAATAAACGATGACTGCAAAAAATTAATGATTTCAAATTTAAATAAAATTTAACTTTTGGCTTGTATAGTGCAACCAGTGGTGTGTTTATACCAGGGAACAGTGAAATTACGTAATTTCACTGTTCCCTGGTTTATACTCATCACACAAACCACTGCCAAAAAATTGCCCATTTTTTGACTCCCATGAAGGAGTCAAAACGTCGATCTTTTCTTTTTAGCGTTATTTTTATGTTAAATATTGTTCTATTTTAAACATTTCTAATAAATATTATAACATTAAATTATTCTATACATCTCAAATTTTTCTTAAATTTGCAATAAAGTTATTTTAAATCTTGAATCTTGATCTACTAGGGAAAATTTTGGAAATTTTGTCCAAAATTAAAAATTTGTATTATGAATTACAAACTAATATTAAAGGTCCGCAATTAAAGAACTCACTTTGTTGCCATTGAGAGTGTTGGACTTGGTAAAACCTTGCCTCCACTACTTGGAATACCAACAGCTGTCATAGGATTTAGAGCAGATGTGGATGTCGTAATAGCTAACGGTAAGTTGGGCACAGGCAGACCGCCAGAACCAAGACTTGAAGGAACTGACTGGACCGACGGGGGCACTAACATTCCAGGGGTTGTAGGCAATCCAGGTGACAATTGCACACCTTGATTACCACTAGGTAGTACAGGTAAAGATGGTACCCGAGTTTGTTGTGTAACTGGAGTGACCGTAGTCCCTTTTATGGGTGAAAAACCAGTGATGTTATTGTTCAAACCAACAGTTGGTTGCGTTAATGATGTAGGCGACGTGAGCTGCAACTGTTCCATCTTTTTCTTGGCTATCGCACTATGTATAGCTGCTAGAATGTCATCCATATTGCTTTAGTACTCGATAAAATTTCCCACTAATCGATTAAAACATATCACATCCACTGTTTACGATCAACAGAAGTCCGCACATAAAATGTCTACTTGGAATCATAGGTTCTAAATTTTATATCCAAACTGGACTTCTTACTAGCTGTGGTCGACTTCAAGGCAGAATTATTATGCTCAAAACACTACAATAATTGACAGTGTGATCATGACTATGATGTACACGTTCGCACAGTGCTTCAGACTTGAAATCATTCATGCACACAGTACTAAAAGTAGGCGGAGCTTAACTCATTTTACACGCTTGATTAAACAGGTCTTCTGTATTCTTTTCCCTCAAGTACTTATGTTCACTATTGTCTTGGATCAGCGGGACTGTCAACATATTTGATGGTATTGGAATTTGCCTTTTATAGGCCAGTTATTGTAAAACAATGGCTAGGGTTGTGTTTATTAATACTGGTAATTCTTTCTTCAACTATACAAACAACTTTCAACTTTTTACTGAATCAAATTCAATATAAAAATAGGACTCGCAAAAAAAAAATAAATAAATAAATAGATTTGACAGAAAAAATTACAAGCAGGAGACAGCATTGTCAAATTAGCTCTTTCGATTTATTTTGAATACAGTATGAGCTTTCAGAGGCATCAAGCAACTTTTATCATAATGTATTAAAAATTATAGCAAACTTTATGTCCAAGATATTCTGATTACAACTAACAAAAATTATTGCAATATGGGATATAAATGTCAAATCATTATTATTATTACAGTGGCATCTCCCAATTACGTACCTCTCCATCTGAACAGAGTTCATAAAGGGAGACTTTTTTATACCTTATAATCGAACCTGCCACCTACCAATGACGATTTTGAATAAAAATAAAATTTTATTTCTGGCCAATTAGGGCACCTGCCGCTACAAACAAAATTGAAATTTCGGAAAAAAATAAAAGTTTTTCGCCGCTGCCCTGAAATCTCCAAAAATAAGATACAGTATGTATATTTCTTCCTAATTATTTAAATAACTCAACAATAAAATTTATTTTTATTTTCTAGACTTTCTGGATGTTTCTTGCAAAACCATTTGCTAAATAATAATTTTTTTTCCCGCCCTCATCTTTAAAGAATCAAGTTCACGGAACAAGGTATAAAAAAAGTCTCGCCTAATAAAGAAAATTTGTAATTCAGATTAAAAAAATTTTCATAGCATCTCAGTGGTGAGAGTACAGTAGATCTAATGCGTACATTGTTTAGTAGGCCTATTAAACAGGGCTGGGCAGGCCTGTAATGTGCCTTGCCATGGGAGCACATTTCTGTCACAAAATATGACTTGGATTTAATACTGTTCTTTGAATTGATTTTTGAATGAAAACATTACCATTAATAGAAAAAAACAAGTGTTACTCTCTTCATAAAAATCAAAAATCCACTGGAATAGGGGCCCAATAAACGAAAAGTGAGATTCTCTATTCCTATTATATGGTAGCTGTCTGAGTTCTAAATGGAATATATCTCGGCTGAAAACGATTTATATTTCTTGCTTTAAAATAAGTTTTATGTTAAAATATTATTGGTTTAAATGTTGAATTTATTACCCGATGTAACATTTTATATTATTTTTTATGAATTTTATATACAATTTTATAGTGTTTTTGCAGTCATCGCTGCAAATTATGTTAGTAAAATCGAGGGTTTTACTTTGGTTTTACTGTATTATTATTATTATTATTATTATTATTATTATTATTATTATTAAATATATTATGTAGTTAGTAGTGGTAGATGAAGTGCATAATAAATGTCAGAATTATAAATAGTTAAATTATCTTTTTTTCCCCCTTCAATGGATGAAGTCAACTTTACTGCCAAATATCAAGATAATTCTTCTTAAAACACCCATTGGAAATAACAAGTAGAAAAAACCTACTATCTGTTTTAGCACAGTTAATTACACATAGTGCATTCCTTAACACCATATTCTTTGTGAACAATAAAATATTGTTTTCTTAGTTCTATGGGGATTGTTTACACTGCCTTGAAAAATAGGCCAATGAGCAAATCGTTTGTGTGAATAATTACCAGTAATGGCCTGCATATTTTAATTCGAGGAAATGTTTATTTCGATTTCATGTTTCACTTGTTAGTATTTGTATAATATTAACCAAGAATGTTCTGTATACCTCCTTTGAAATTGACTATCTCAAATAACTCGCACTAAACTATACAGTGATTAAAGTCCCACAACATGTACACATCACCAGTGATTTCACAACTCAGGCAATCAATTCTGCCTTAAATAGATTCATATATCTATAGTGCCATTTAGCTAATGGAAACAGAAATAAAGACACTTTTACCCGATCACAGAACAAACACAATCTATATATAAAGCATAACTTACTGTAGATAATTATCTGGTATTGATACCCAGTAAAGTGTGAAAATAATTGTGTTATTCACTCAAGTGTGCAATGTGAAAAATCAGTTTGTTTACTTTTCAGTGTGTGATACAGTAGTGCTAATAAGCACATTTAGGGAGGTATGTAATTGCTAGACACAGGTGTTTATACATTTCTGTAGCCGATCAATTTATATCATCAATTTCAAAAGGCAATGGTTAAGGTGTGGCATGGACAATTATTATTTGTAATGATTCGGATTCTATACTGACAAAGTTTATTGATAATGTACAGTATCACCTGAAAATATCAAACCAGAGCCTTGCAGGCGTCAATGTTCCTATGCATGATACATGACTTTATCAGAAAATACAAGGTTGGGTCAAATTTATGTGGTGGTTTAACTTGAACAATTCAGGTTGAGTGAGTTTTTATGGCCCAAAACACTGATTTCAGACCACTTTGGTAATGTTATTTGAAAGGCAAAATACAGTAATATTTTTAGCACACCAACAAGGTAGGCTTACTTTGAAATATTGTAAAAAAAAAATTTTAAAAAATAAAAATGTTATTCTGTAGGCATATAGTATTTAAATTTTACAGTAGTTTGGAACGATATCGGAGTGGGGAGTGGCAGTGGCCTACTAGACTAGGATACAAAATGTCGGCAAACTTTTTCTTGACGCATGCGCAATTGCATAAATGTCTACACGCACTCACACGCAAAATAGTGATTACAAGAATTTCTATTGCATTACATCCATAGGAACTAAAAAGGAATCCATGTTTGCTCTGTGAACAGAGGCAGTATATAGAAGCAGATTGTCGCAGACAACGATATGCTGCACGTGCCTCATCACAGTGTCCATGGAATCACACCAATGAATATTAAACAGCGCAATATGTGTCCAGCTTTTACAGTAGGATGCAAGCAAAATGTTCATTAATTTAATAAAAGCATCAGCTCAGCACACTGTATCACATTAATTAAATTATTCACATCAAAAGGGACTTGAACCAATGGAGGTCTTGAGTCTCTGGTAAGGGGGCGTTCACAATTATCAGCATTTTCACAAGTGTACAAAAAAATGTTGATTTTGCTAAACTATTCTCCATATTTTGGTGAAGTCAACTAAAGCAATGTACTTGGTTGCTTAAAAATGAATATTAAAACTGTATATCCATGGTTACATTATAATTGTATCATCATTTGTAATACATATTCAGGGATGTCACAACGCTGGTTGGCGGTGGACGGGCCCGTCCAGCACTCAACATTTCCGACCAGGATTTACAGGCTCCTGACCACCACTATTATTTCAACAGTTTACAAATTGTAACAAAATAATTAGTTTACCTAAACAATAAGATGTGTAATTAGTTTACCTAAACACAATAGACAAGCTAAATTGATAGATAAAGACAAGAAGAATACAATAAATGTTTCCATGGTTACGTTAATTGTAACAAAATACTGCACTGCCCTGCTATTCATCGCTAACTGAACAGCCTAGGCCCAGTTAAGTCATAGCGAACGTCGTGGGCCAGCATGACACGGTTGCTGTACACATTCAAAGGTTACAGTTGAAATCGTGACCATTCAAGTGTTTTATTATGAGAGCATGATCCGGGGCAGGAAGATTATTAAAAATTTACAAAACCTGATTTATGTTTTATTTCTTTACTTTGTTTTCATTTTGCATTTTAAGTTTTTCACTTTTAGTTATAATTGATATATAATGTGTAAATGGACAAAAAATAAATACATGAGTGCACATGAATCAGTGACATACACATTCATCTTGGTAATCGTCAAACATGTGAAATTACGGCAAACAATGGGGCTGGGTACAGTCGGATCGACGCTTTGTCGCCAGGATTTGTTCATTATTATTTTTTAATCTAAAACAAAGCATGTCAACTATTGAATTTAATTAGGCCTACAGTAAGTCTCATCTTCATCTCTTTTGTTGCATTCCTCAAATTCTGGCCTAGGCCTACCTGGGCCCCCACCTGGGCCTAGCCTAAAAAAACCCCCCCCCCCCCCCGGGAAAACGTGGGATGATCGCCGACCAGCAGTCCAAAAAGCTGGTGACATCCCTGCATATTGCATGTTATTTTGAAGCAACAATTTTTATGCATATGTAAAAGTATACAAATATGTCTACATTACCCCATTTCCCCCTCCCCAGCATACTGTTTGTACACTTGTGAAAATGTCTTGCTTTACAGTAACTTTATAGGTACTCCTGATTTTACTCAATTTTTTGAACACTTTTTCCTTTGTTTGATCTATCCCTTCACATATTGAATTTAGGGTATAGATCAAACAGACGAGGTTTTTAAGTCCTTACAAAATCAACACTACTGAATAACCAGAAATGATAAAATTAACAAAATTCTAGAGCAGAATAGCCTACTATAGGTTTTAATACTGTGAACAAGAAGTGGCTCGTAAAAAAAAAGGATGTGCATAGGTCATGTGCTCATGTGAGGCCGGCCTTCATTGCATGCAGTATGTTCATTTTTAATTCACTTTAATATCTAGACCAGAAATTTATTGACCAATTGCAACAATACTACAGTAGCACGGATTTATGCATGGGCAACTGGCCCATGAGTTATTTTAAAAGAATTTATAGTGTGGAAAAAGAAACAAAGCTACAGTATGCTATGTAAATAATGGTCAATCGTTATGGACACTAGAAATGATATTGTTGGCGATTGACTGTTTGTTGATTTTGTGAGTGTATAGGAGGAAAATCAACTGAAAACAAATTAGATTGACATGAGTGACTATCTGGAGTTTCGCCATTCACGGGGGTTTTAAAATGGCAGCTTTACTGTATCTG